AACATCACAGCTAATTCTCCTTGTTCATTTCCTGATTCAACTAGCGAATTTTTATGCATCAGGAGTCTAGATATATCTTCTGTTTCTCTATGGTCAACTTTTCCATGACTAAGTTTGGGATCATAAATTAGTTCCTTTTTAACTGCTTCTAAGGCCATATTGATTGGTATATTAATATAAAGACTGGTTATATCAAAACTAACCATTTTCTCTTCATTCGCTAATTGAATGTCATTTCATATGAATTAGTTGACCTAAAGTATGAAGGAATTCTAAGATTCCCAATAAATCATGAATTAGGGTGGCATTCAAACCTACAAACTTACTCACAGACAAGCTCTATAAGCTAAAAGACCTGGTGAAACTAATTAAACAACATAATATAATTTACAAAATACCCTGCAATGACTGGGAGTTAAGTCAACTGCACAGGTCAAGAAGTAGATCGGCGGGGAAGTCGGATTGTCAAAACACCCGAAGATAAGTAATGTAGAAGAAAGCTCAGTGCTACTTTGTACTTGATGCATAAAGAACGCCAAACGACACAATAGGATGGGTTTGAAATTCTAAGAAATGGTGAACAATACTAGCAATCAAATGAAGTGAAATAATGGAATTATATAAAGGAAGTTAGAAAGTTGTGTAAGTAGTGCCTTGATATGATTATGACTAGCAATGGTAAATTGTGCTCGAAATGTATTCATCAGAAAATACTACTGTGTAATACTGCTGGACATTATCAAATTAAATTTTGCGCATATTGGATTAATACTCTACCAGAATGCAGAATTTCTATTCTTACATCATTGTTGCCATTTTATTCTGCAGAAACCACTGTTGTTGTCGGTGGCACAGTGGTTAGGACTCTCGCCGACCATGCATATGGTCCGGGGTTTGAGCCCACGCCGACGCACACCTGATATCGATGGTCGGCCTGCGAATTTTGGGCTACCGATATCCACGCTGAAAATTCCATACTTGTATCAAAAATACAGTGTGGAATCAAGCTGTAATCAAAAATAAAATAAATAATAAATAATTCAATTTTCATGTTTTTATAACGTCCTTCATTTTCAGCAGTGTAAATGATGAAAAACAAAGGAATGGACATCTGACAGAAACCTGTTTATACCCTTTCCTATTTATATTTAAATTATTGGACTGTCAATAATTCTGTCGTGAGGACAAATATTTGATGATGAAATTCTCTGGAGCCAGTCTTGCTAAATTGACAAGTTGGTTGAAGTTGAAATTCATGGGCTATTGGATTGAGTACCAGTGGATTGGAATCTCGGTGGATGAGTACGGATGAAGCGTCTCAGAGAGGGGCGAAACAGATGTCTAGCTCAACCTGAAAAATGTCAGTTGTTTCTAATTCATGAAAAAATTCATATTGTAACATATAGAAAATCAAAACAAGTGGTGATTCAGCGAAGAGACTCTTTTCAACAACGAATTTATCATCAAGCTGTACAGTCGTATATACATATGGTTTTTAAGAAGTTATATCCGGTGAGGGAATTGAACTAGAGGTGTGAATGCATGAAATAATAATAATAATCATATGAAGTTCAATTAAAACTAAAATATTTGTGATTATAATCGTAGTTAAATGTCAAGTGGCAAAGCAAATTAATGTCATATATAGAATAATTCATAGCATGGATAGAACTTGTAAAGGGTGTGCAATTGTAGGATTAGTTGACAAATCGAATAAAATAAAATAAAAACGTTGCGTAATACTGTGTGAAATTTGAAAGCATAGAATTTAACGTTGTAAAAAAAGAATTGATTTAGAACGACACGTGGAGCAAGTGAAATAATACTGGGGACATAATAAAGGAAGAGTACACAAACAGATAAGACAAAATGAACATAATAGAGAATAGATAGAGCCAAAATATGATTAGGGATTATCACACTTTAGCATAGAAGGGGAATTAAGATCATGGAAGTTGGGGGGGTAGAACGAAATTTTTCTGTACACAGCGATTTGCCTTTTTTTGTTTCGACAACCAAAGCTTCACCAATACAGATGAGTTGGGTAAGTAGTGATTTCGGTAAACTACATTTTTGCCTTGTAGATGACTTTAAAGGCCGAGGCTGCTGTAGAGATAGGGTGATCATTATCGACCAGATGTTCAATGATCGCGCTTCTTATTGCTCCACCTCTACGTAGCCATGCAGGATAGCGTTCTTGCACCCTGTTAGAAAAAACTCGAGTCGAACCACCGATATACTTGTCTCCACATGAGCAGATGAATTGATAAACGCACATAGAGTTGGTCATCTGTGGGATTTTTTGGTCCTTCAGGATTTTGTCTTCCCTCCAAATTTCATGGTCCTAATTCCTCTATGTTAAAGTATGGTGAATCCCTAATCATATTTTGGCTCGACCAAGTTTTTCATTTTGTCTATTCAGTTTGTATACTCTTCCATTATTACGTCAATTGTTACTATTATTATTCTCACTTTGAACTGTTCTCGGTATTATTTCACTTAATCCACTTGTCATTCTAAATCAATTCTTTTCACGACGTTAAATTCTAAGCCATCATATTTCACACAATATTACGTAACGTTTTTATTCTTTTCAATTTGTCTACTAATCCTATAATTGCATACCCTTTTTCTAAGCTCTATACTTCCTATTAATTGTTCTATATATGACATTGTAGAGAATAATAAAAAGAAAGTTCCAGCGAAGAAAATTTTCCTTTTCAACGAAGTCACCGTCATCTAGGCAGCTGTATACTCGTGTATTTATAATATAATGGGAGAGAAAGTTTCAGAATAATTTCCGGTTAAGGGTCAGATTAATAGAATTAAAATTAGAAATTAAAATACCATAATCAACAAGGGGAGGCGGATAAAATTCAAACAAATTAGCATCATAATTATTTGGAAGATTCACATATTGTGAAATTAGGAGTTAGAAATGTAAAATTAACAAAAATAGACAGGATGTCCGGATAAAAAACCTAGTGGGAGCATAACTGATGTGAAAAATAACTGTTAATGCAGTTAGGGATTAAATATTTAAAAATAATAAAATGACTAACCAGACGGGAAGTTCACATTTGAAAGTGTGGTAGTGTAAATAGTGAAGGGATTAAGAGAAACTTAACAATAACATCAATAAACAGGAAGTTTGGATAAGCAAGCCAATGCGATGGTCATTATTAGAAGAATTACCCGTTTATGATGGTCAAAACAGGGGCAAGGGTTAAACGTATTTCTTTTGAATACCTAGCTTAGGTTTGAGCTTTTGGATGGCTAGTGTCTGGACTATGCCCAGATGTACTAATTTGACTCCCTGTGATCAGTTTAATCGAATCCTTTGTACGACTTTGAAGGATTTTTTTGAATGACGGTGAATATCCTGAATTGACCAGATGTAATTTCACTGAACTAACCAGACTGGGCAGTGTTCACAAGCGCATTTTTCAAGTTGGCACATGGTACGGCCGATTTACGCAGCTGCGCACGAGCAATTAAACTGGTATATGCACGCTCAGTTGGCCCAATGGGACAGCTTGTCTTTCGCGTTCTGGCTGAACAGTTTCTTCTTGGGAAATATCAGTTGTAGTCTTGCGATGAAGTATGTTTTCTGCATAGATTTACCATGGCCTTTACGAAAGATTTCTGCATCTTCTTAGGGAGAGATTGGATGTAAATTGTTTTGAATATAGCGAAAATATTCATTCAAACATCTATAAAACACAAAATAATAGAGTAAAGAACATCCTTTTCGATAAATTCCTCTTCTGGCTCTACAATTATTTGTATATGTTTATATACATAGAATATTGTAGATTAGTAGTCAATAACAATATTAGTGTTTTTAAATTATATCGATTTGTAAAGTAAGATCAATGCAATCACCACAGTTGAATAAATATTCTTATATTATAATAATATAATACCGACTAAAATTAAGGAAATTTCTACAAAATATTGAGGATCATTTGAACCTACATGGCCAAGGTAAGGATAATGTCTGAATCAGCTTCTTTCTGAACGCACAAACAAGGCTTCTGAATATGGATCCCAACAGCCAGCCTCAGCAGTATTTAGCAGTAGAACTCTTAAGGCGAAGTTAAAATTTGTTGGTTGGTTAGGTGTAGATGACTTTGAAAGCCGCCTTGTTGACATCAATCCTGTGTTCTGTATCCACAAGATGAGATAGAATAGCGCTACAAATATATTTTGTCTATCCTATACCTAATCACGCAGGGTGATGTTCGGAAATTCGACGAGAAACACGCCTAATTGTATGGCCTATGTAACTGTCTTCACAGGAGCAGTTAAACTGGTAGATAAACATGAAAGAGGCGAAATTAGGCAGTTTATCTTTTATTCCTGAACGCAAAAGAGGGGCGGTTTTGAAGACACAGGGTAATTCCGCAACAGTGAATGCTCTTTTTACAGCATTTCTAAGGCTCTGTGTTAGTATCTCGCTGATGCTGTCTCAAGGCCTTTTTAGGGGCTGTCGGTATCTTGGGCTGCTTTGATTTTAGATTCATATTCTTATCAATAAACTTTTCAGGATAGCCGTTTTCACTGAGCAACCGTTTAATATTAATAAGTTCCTCATCAAGACATTCATCCCAGCAGATGAAAAATGAGTTTACTGACCCGTTGATATAGGTTTTCTATTGACATTCTATAACTATAGTCACAAACATTTTAATTCTAATTTCATTTCATATTACTATTAATATTTCATGCATTCACACCTATGATTCAATTCACTCACCGAATATAATTTCTTAAAAAATATATATGTATATACGATTGTACACCATGAAAAGAGTCTCTTCGTTGAATCACCACTTGTTTTGATTTTCTATAATCTCCTTTTTTAAGCCAATCACGAAAAAGATTACATTTTGTCTCTTAACAACCAACCACCAATAATATCGCTGGGAATTTCTGCCTCCCTGATTGGTTAATATAAAATCACACACATATACGTATTTACCAAGACACTAACTAATATTCCTACATTGTTTAATAATTATGCGTTATGTAGTTACTTTTCCGTAGAAATGATTATTTGAAATGTTTATAATATTCGATTTATTTTAATAAAACAAAAAATAAATGGATACATTGAATTCAACATTGAATGAAACTATGAACAACAACATCAATAATGATAATAATGATGAATTAGATCCATTTTGGATTAGTACATTAATTCTCCTCGGTTGTGTATCAATTTTAGGCACCATCGGTAATTCCCTTGTATTGGGTGTATTTATTCAACACCATTTTTGGCCACATTTACATTTAAAATATCGACAAATCTATTTAAATCAACAGTTGAATCTAGCAACCAATAACAGCACTGTGAGATCTTCTTCGTATTCTCAAAACACTAATGGTAATAGTAGTAATAATAATAATAATTCTAATTATGACAATTATATGCTACGTATTCATGAGTCAAATGAACAACTCTTCACCAAAACAACAGGTACACCAACCTTCTTCATCCTTGTTCTAGCTTGTATCGATTTATTAGTTTGCTGTTTTGTAGTCCCATTAACATTCTACATGGAATATGTTCATTTACAACCGTCCACCGATATATGTTGTAAAGCGCATGCATTTTTAAACATCTGTAATATTATGTTTAGTTCACTGTTGATTATTGCTATCGCCTTGGAAAGATACCTGACTATTTGTCATCCATTACGACGTATTTTAACAATGAAACGTGCAAAATACTTAACGTTGAGTTTAGCGATCTTTTGTATTCTCTATGGGATTCTCGGTGCTGTACATCATAGCTTAGGTGAAGCAGTGGATCAGCCGGGAGTGAAACAATGCCTGGATACACCAGAATTACCAAATGTCACTTATACGCAGATATTGATGTTCGACATTTTACAGAAAGGAAATACAGCCAGTTTTATTTTGTCTATTCTCTTTGTAATAATCTTGTATTCGTTGATTCTCCGGGTGGTGATTAAAACACATCGGATTAATCGGCATTCTTATTCATCAAATCCTAGTGTATACACCATGAATATGCATCAGTCTACACTGTCAGAGGTGAATCAGGCATCGACAGGTTTCGCAGCTGATGTGAACAGCAATATTACAACAACTAATAATAACAATAATGATAACCACCTGATTCCTCACCGTAAAAGTATCGCAAATAAGCTAAGAGCACATTTATCTTTAAAGGGATAACAGAGAGTACCCTGTGGCGAGAGCTACGATCAGCTAGTGTCCTATTTGTTGTCGCTGTCGTCTACATAATCGTCTTTACACCAGCTTTATTGACAGCTAACAAACTGGTTAATTTCAATTTGTTAGCTTATAATACATACTACTTAAATAATATGTCCAATCCTGTCATTTATTGTTTTATGAGTCATGCATTTAGAAAAAAGTTAAAAATTTTATTATTCAACGGGATGATCTCGTTTAAAAGTTATCGGTCAAAACGTGACATTTTTATTCCACATCACAACCATCCTCAGCAGCGGCAGCATTCAGTCATTCATCAAGACGGAAACAACATTTTCGTGAAAGACAAATGAATGCTCAACAATCGAATAATAATAGTAATGGTAACAGTAATGGTAATATAATAAATAATACAATTCGGTGACGTACAGTATTATCAATCGACGATGATATTTAATGTTCAATGTTCAATTATTTTCATTATGAATGACATTAAATATGTTGACAATTGAAAATTGGAGAAATATAAACAAAACAAGGAAACATTATGACAATTGAGTAAGAAAATTCGAAAAAAACTTACAAAAATTTATTTATTTATTATGTATGTATATATATGTCAAAGTATTTTGGTTATTTATGTATAAATACAACTCTGTATATATATTTGTCATTAAAACACACATAACTGAAATGAAAATTGAACACTGAACAGCTTTTTATTGGACATTTTGTATTTTAGAATGGAATGGTATCTTCACGCAACAATTATTTTCATTCAAATATCAATATATTTCAATTGTGATTATTATTATTATCAATATCGTTTCCTTTAAATCCTCGAGGAACATAGGGCTTCAGCCGTACGTCTCAGTTGTGTTTGTTCTCTAACGTTTTCACTTGGTTTTAAGTATGCCCACATGCCTTCATCTCCTGTTCACATGACCTCACCTTCATGTTATCGTCGCACTGACGTCCAACTAACACGCTGCCCCACATTTAGGCTCCACTTTTTCACATTTGGTGCACAATTGGTTCCGCCGGGGAGGGGGCGCCCAGAGATCCCTGTTGCACATCTTTTCTAGCGACCAGCTGACCTTGAGTAGTATTGAGCCAAGAGAGCTGCTTGTGAAGTATTGTAGTTTGTTCGAAGTGCCCTGAGTGACGTGGAGCCAAGTCTATGATCCATATATTAAGTAGTGCTGACTGACTTTACATTGGCGTTGAAAATCCGGATCTTATTTTTCATGTTGAATGCTGTTGATCTTCACAAAGATTTGAGAGAAATGAAAGACTACCTTGCTTTCTTGATCCTCGCTTTAATGTTATCATCAGTCCCGTCCGCCTGTAGGTGAAACGATGTTTTTCAGTAGGAAGGTAGGTGATGTTTCTTCTATCAGATTTCTCCCATTAACGCTGATTGCTGTCTGTTGTTGTTGCTGTTGGTCAGGAATCTTCATCCCCTCTGTCTTTTCTATGTTTACCTGAAGTCCAATCTTTTCTGGATATTTCTTCTGGTAACTTATTGCTTTTCACTGCATATCTTCCATTTTGTGAGAAATCAGACATATATCATCGGCGAATTCCAAATCCTCCAAATTTTTTGTATGAGTCCATTTTATGGCTGTCTCCTCGTTGCCCACCACTGTCTGTCTCATTAGCTAGTCTACCGCAATCAGGAAAATCATTCAAGATAGTAGGCAGTCAGCTTGTCCTACTCCCGTCTTCACTTCTTCGAAGGATTCCGTGAGTTTCTCGTTGTAGATTACTTGGCTTGAAACATTTTCGTACAACTGTCAGATGAGATGTATAATTGTTGGTGGCATCCGTTAGTAGGGAACTAGTTACCAAAGTACCTCTCAGTCGATGTTAGGTCGTGAAAATTTCTTCAAAATCAAAAATCATTGATATTATTTATAGTATGTATATATAAAATTCTTTGAATGATATTGGTGATTCTAGTTAATACTGGATATATGCTTAAAGAAGCATATTCAGTGTGATGAAATGAAAGTCTACATTGTATTTTAACGTTTAATTAATGGTCTATGGATATTTGATCCAGAGTTTTTTCATTTTACGGTTTGAAATCACCTCTCTCGAATGACGTAATTAATAGAAAGATAACAAACTCAAACGAATATCAAACCTGAAATGAAGCTAAACAGTTTCTATTCGTGTTAGTTCAATTTTTCTGAGTTGTTTGGAGATGTAAGCCTGATATGTCATATCAGTGAATGATATTCTGCTGACATTTCAAAAATCAACTGTTCAGGAATGTCGCCTAACCTTGAGATACTTTTGGTTAAGTATTACTTTTATTTTGAATAAGCTAGGAAGCATATAATTTTGAATTTCAGCGGTAATCCCCTATCAAAATTAAGGGAGCTTCCTACTTGAATATTATTCGGTTTATAACTTGTTGCCATGTCTCATTTCTTTTCCTCTGCTATCTGTCTGGAAGATGGGATTCTCGAGTTTCATAATTCAGCTGCGATGGTGTTGACTTTATTGGTTGAGCTTGCCAGCCCCATAACCAGCATTCTCACTATTTTATTAATACAACCAGCTATTAAGTCACATCAGCCCTGGAGAGACTATGAAGTGAACTGGATACAGAACCTCGCTCCATGAAACAATCTGGATTCTGGAAATGAAAACCATTTGTGGATCAAATAGCAACTGCACGTATCATCATTGAACTGTCTCAACTTCATCAACTTTGAGAAATTTCTTCAACACTATGCAGTTCAGTCTCTGAAACTTTTATCAGCCTCATACAGCAACTATATGGAAATAAAACACGTCAGGTGATTCACAGCGTAAAATTCAGTGAGGTGTTGGAAGTAAATAAAGGAGTAAGATAAGGCGGCCTGCCTATTATCATCAGTGATATTGCTGATTGTGGTGGACTGGATTGTGTGATAGAAGATTGTTTGAACAAAAAGTCAAGAAAACGTTGAAGCTACAAGGAGACTCTAGAAGATATGAATTTCGCAGACGATTTATGTTTATAATGTTGCGTTGACTCGAAGACCCGAAGGCAAAAACCAAACACTAGCTAAAGAAGCATGTAAAAATGGAGAAGACTGAGTTAGTGAAAATCTACTCACACCAAAAACACCAGCCAGCATCAATCGCCATCAACGGGAGAGATTTGAAAGAGGTTACTTCCCTCACTTATCTAGGAAGCATCATCTCAACTACGGACCGGAGGAATGAAGGATACCAAAGGCGAAGTCTGAAATCATTTTGGAAATATTCTACACTCTGTAGAACAAATAACAAAATTAGGATTTTTAACACCATTGTGAAGTCAATCGATTCTTTTCTATGGATCGGAAACTTGACCAGCGCTTCATGTTAGAACTTTCCAACAGAGAGGCTGCAGACATTCACCGCATCTGCTTTTGCTGGCATTCAAGGTCAAATAGCCTGAATGGATTAGCACCAAGGATCTACAGGTACAAACCAATCATGAACCTGTTGGTCAATAAATATACTAATGAAAATAAGGATAGGTTAGGTGCATTCTAAGGCAAGCATTGATTGAAATCGCTAGCCAGGTTATTTCTAGAGTGCAACCCCAGCGGGAAAGGAGATCCTTTGAGGAATAGTTGAAAGCATATGGGCAATCATGGATTCAGCTAAATAAGACAAAGCAGAATGTTCCTTTGAAGGTCAATATTCCACTTAGAACCCAAGGGAATAACAATTAGACTTAATACCAGCTAGGTGCATCGGCGTAACAGCGGTAGAATGCTCGCCAACTACGCTTCATGTGATTCGGCTTTCAATTCTCGGCCACAGACGCACTCCCGAACCTCGCTTAGCCTGGTATTAGAGGGAAGGTTGGTCTGGGTATGAGGTTAGCAACTCCCTCCGGCAAAAATAAACACCACTGTTATCGAAATTTCAAGCTTCTAGCTTGAAGTCCCATGTTTCACTAGATACATAAAGCAGTGAACAAAAAACCAGCTAGTGAAGTGGGTAAAACGTAGCAGTGCGTGACAACCATTGAATCATCGCTGGACATACCACATTCTGCATAGGTTTTTGAAAAAAAAACCCTTTCAGTTTTATTTTCTTTTCATTTCAACAATTTCCCCCAATCGTGTTATTTATCAATACCAATAATAAATCAAATAGTTTGCTTTCATCTAAACCTGTTTAGTGATGTAGTTAACTGATTCTGAGGTAGAATACAAACATCTGTTAGCCGAAAATAAATACTCGATCAGTATTAGAACAAATTCCATCTGATGTGATGAATCATTGTGGATTAAAACTTTGTGATCACGTTTTATGAAAGTGACAATTCAGTGAATAAATTCTCAGATTAAATGATTGATTAATCAAAAAGTTCTCCATAAGAGAACTATTTGTTCCGATGTGACACACACTCGCCCCCACAATGAGTTAGTGATACAGAATAGATTATTTACTAGTGGCATTCAGAGTAAGAGAACAAGAAGTTCAGCAAAGATATCGATTATTGTCGGCAATTTTATTGTCGAAAGCAGCTGTACAATCTTATTAATGTACATTATTTTCATAGATACAATTATTATTTCTTTGATTCCACATAGTAATGAAGGAGAGATAATAATCTTTTATTACGAGTTCAACCACGGATTTTTATCAGTTAGAGAACGATTGAAAACCAGTTGGACGGAGTACTGCACAGCTGTTTCATCCTAGTTTGTGAGTCATCGACAGTACGCACCCACTGTGAGGGTTCGAACACATGAGCTTCCGGTTACAAGGCAAGCTGGCCACTGAGACCCACCCAAATCAGTGACCCATCCATGAATTTTAACTTCTATCAAATCGTTATTTTTCAAGTGTTGGTTTTGTAGGGATTTGGTTTGATTGCATGGAGGATTTCATCATGAGCTGACATTAGTTAGAGAAGCACTGGAAAACCTGGCAGTACTGCACAGCTGTTTCGTCCTAGTTTGGGACTCTTCATCAGTACGCACCCACCGAGATTCGAACCCAGGACCTTCTGGTTACAAGGCGAGCTCGTAGACCATTGAGCCACTGGGACCCGATCCAGTGGTCCTTGAATTCTAACTTCTGCCAATTCATGACATAGCGCGACCACTTCGCAATGTCTTCTTCGATGAGTTACTGCCTCATCTTCGACCTGCTGTACCCTACTGGTCCTCCATACAATCAAACCAAATCCCTACAAAACCAACACTTGAAAATTAATCTGATGCGCACTAGCGACTGGCCCTATTCAGGCAGTTAACCTGGGGTTCTAGTGGGAAGCCGTGACCAGTAGGGTACAGCACGTCGAAGATGAGGCAGTAACTCATCGGAGAAGACATTGCGAAGTGGTCGCGCTATGTCGTGAACTGGCGGAAGTTAGAAATCAAGGACCATTGGATCGGGTCCCAGTGGCTCAATGGTCTACGAGCTCGCCTTGTAACCAGGAGGTCCTGGGTTCGAACCCCGGTGGGTGCGTACTGCTGAGGAGTCCCAAACTAGGACGAAACAGCTGTCCAGTACTCCCAGGTTTTCCAGTAGTTCTCTAACTGATATCAGTCCGT